TTGAATCAATTTATGAATTTAACAAATTATATAAAAATTAGAGAAAGAGCACTTGGCTTTTTATATGGGCTGAAGAAATGGGCTGCTTGGGCACTTAGCTCTTATTTCAGCCAGAATAATTGGTGGGCTTGACTGAAATGAATAAGAGCATGTTGATTCCCTTGGGCCCAATCCTAGTTGGTAAAATCTGGTTGGCAGGCCTTAGAACAGTCTGGCCTATACTCATTCCCGCAGCTGGCGTTAGGTCTAGAGGAGGATATGGCGGCATCTCTCCAGTCCTGTTCCCATGCCGCCGGAAATGGAGGGGATGTTGCCTTTAACTCGGAGTACCTCGTCCAGAGCCTACTCTATTGTCTATGGTGAGCAAACCAGGCAGACCCAGACGATGGACGGCGCGGTGGTGGGGGCGGAGCTCGTCTTGGGCGTCTTTGACCTGCAGGTTCTTTAGTCGCTTCCATCGTGTCAGTTCTAGTCCTCAGCAGTAACGGACCGCGCTCTCTTCACGTTGGCCATTAATGGCGGATTTCTGAAGGTCAAGCTCCAGAGGCAGAGTCAAATGACCATGAAGATGACAGTCGTGGACCTGGCTCCGATCTTTGAGATGCGGTGGCGACCGGATCCGTGGCAGAGTGGAACAAGAGCCGTGGTAGTAGAACTCATCCCATGCGCGTCGACCTCCGTCTTCCTCGCTTTTCCACCGTTGGACTGGATTCTTCCATCTTTCGCGTCACGAATTCCGGATCTGATTTTGTTTGCTAAAAGGGGCAAATTCCGGCATTGTCATTTGAGAGTTTCGGATGGAATGACGGTTAAATTTAGTTTAACCGTATCAAATTTCAACTACAAATTCAATTGGAAAGACATACAAAGGGAAAATGAAAACTAATAATCCAATTTTTTAGCGGTCTTCTTTTAATACTACGACCTTTTCTCATGAATAATCCAACCTTTGCACCCCATCTTCATTCATTGGTCCCCGACCGGTTGATGACTTGCTATTCCGAGTTATTTTCTTATCTCTGCAAACTATTATACCATAAATTTCACCTTTCACAAAGATAATACTTTGCAAAGATAAGAAAATAACATGGAATAGTAGGTCATCAACCGGTAAGGGACTAGTGAATGAAAATGAGGTGCAAAGGTTGGATTATTCATGAATAATGAAAAGGTAGGACTATTAAAAGAAGACCGCTAAAATGTTGGATTATTAGTTTCCATTTTGATTTTCTGAAATATACTGCGTTGTTTAACTGTTATTTTCAAAAATTCATTTGACCGCCTTTCTGATTGAACTTTTAGTTGAACTTTGGTATAGCTAAACTAGACTCAATGAAGAAGTTGTTCAAAAAATTTCATCAAAAAATTCCACCGGGAACCTCCCCAAATGACGACGACCGAACAAAACCTTCTATATAAGGACTTATTTGCACGTTTTTTATTAGTTCGAGGGCTTATTTGCCCCTTTTCCCGATTTTGTTTTTTTAAAACAGTTTCTTTGTTGGGATTTTTTGTGTTATGGATGGAATTTTGGATGTTTTTTTTGGGAGATCTCACATGAATTTGTTCAAATTCAACAAAAGCATCAAATGATGGATAATAGGATATTCAAAGTATATAAAATGGAGAGATTGAGGAAATAGAAAAGAAGATCCAAGAGGAGTGTTTATGAAGAATTGACGGATAGGGTCACTAATATGGGTTCCGGTTCGATAGGCCCGGTTACATATAAGTTTAATCTAGTAGATACAAATGATATATGAAATATACGATAATACAAATAACATCTGGTAAACGTATGTGGACCACTGTTCAGGCTCAATAGTCGTGACACTTGGGGATCCAAGTTTATACTACTTTTGTCTCAAATTGAGTTGCAAATTTGAATTTTCTTAGTCAATCAGTCTCGTTTTGCTCACTTAATTAGTCATATTTTAAAACTTTTGATAATGCTTTGATCTTATGTTGAACAATTTATATGCATGCAGCAAACCATTACAAGCTCTTATGGGTAGGGACTTTGGTTTTGATACCTCCGGCTCGAGCTTCACTATTTTAGTGAAAATGCCTCTAACTATGGTTGGGGTGGATCTACTTGTTTAATTTTGTTTTTAGAACATTTAGATTGTACGAGTAATCAATTTTTATGGGGGAAAAAGAGTCAAATAGATCGAACTCACATAAAAAGGTCAAATAAGATTTTATATAGGAGGCTTTAGGGCAGTTCGATGTGAAATTTTTTGAGCATCTTATTCATTAAGTCTAGTTTACTCATACCAAATTTCAGATAAAACCTTTATCGGAAAGGCATTCAAATGAATTCTTGAATATAATTACGCTTTTAAGTAAGATTATAATGTCCACTGTTTGCTTGAGTTTGAAGGACACATAAACAAGCAAATTCTCTAAATAAGATTAAAACAATGATAAAGTTTATAAATATAACTATTATTGTTTTATTCCCAAAATAGGACTCATTCACTCCTATTTTGGGAAATTTAACTTAACTTATTTTTTTTTAATATGAGTGAAAGGCTCCTATTTGGAGAATAAAACATACTTAGTCTCGATTTCTTGAATTGTAGAAACTAGATACTCCTTTTGGAGTACAAAACAAAAAGATCGAGAGCTCATTTGGTAACCCTTATTCAAATATCAGCAATATCAATCAAATTTTTTATCAAACATGTAACTTTTAATTTCACGCGTTGAATTGTATAATAACCAAAATAAATAAGTTTGAAGTAATTTTTTAACTGAATTATCATAAGTTACTATAGAGAACCATTTTAACTATTTTTCATACATGTTTTTCTTAATTTTGTCCATGAAATGTATTTTAAATATAAATGGGTGTTTACCCTATTCCGATATTTCCCCACTCCCTTAAAATTTCAAACTTTAAAGTTCTTTAGGAATTATTACTATTTCCTCTATACTTTAAAGTTTGTTATAATCTCCTTTTTAGAATGTATTAAAAGTTTGTTACACTTTTTTTGACAAGTTTTTTACTATTCAATTATCCTTATCTTTTCTGCTTATTATCTTCTCTTTAATACTTCTCAACCTTATATCATACATTTTCTACACTTTTCATAACCCCTACTATTCCGTCATTAAATAATGTGTCAAAGTCTAATGTAACAATGCTTAAATATGGAGGGAGTATGAATTTACTGATATTATTCCATTTTGATGACAGGATATTTACGATATTATTTGTTTAATCAAGTAGTTTTATTCAGACCAACTAATTGAGTTGAAAATACATACGGCCGCGGAAATGTTCTAAGAAATTAGAAAACCGATAAAAACATGCTAAAACCGACCGATATTAACCGAACCGAAACCGACTCAAGTAGTGCGGTTCGGTTTACGGTTTCACCTTTTCTAAAACCAAAACCGACCAAACCGAAAACTGACCAAACCGAACCGATGAACACCCCTATCTCTCACTTCTCACTCTTATAATCATACAGAGTATTTCTCTCACCCTTTTCTCTCTATTCCCACATTTCTCTCACCCTTTTCTTTTCATTTGTTTTCATTTCTTTGTTATGTAATAACCACTTCTCCTTTTCAATTTATTTTCTATCTTATTATCATCAAAGATTCGCCGAAAAACAGATTTGGAAAATCATCAGAGTGACAACTTTACCATATTCCATCTTACTCACATCATCAAGGTTTTCCTAAATTGGAAAAAAGAATCAGGAATGAAAAGTCGGCAGAAAAAAAACTGAAAATTAGTAAATTCAAACCAGTGTTGTGCACATACATTAGTTGTCTGCGCACAAATAGTATTTGCTTGGGACAGACAAAAAAATAACTATACACAGGCATTAGTTGTCTCTGCACGGGCATCGGGTTTCGTGCAACAAAATGCTGATTAAAATAATATTCACATCGATTTACGTTCTTTCTTTGGAGAGACACCCCCCTCAATTACACGCAAACCAATGCATGTGCACAAACATTAGTTGTTTGTGCATAGACATTAGTTGTTTGCAACAAAAAATGTTTGTGCATATGCATTGGTTTGAATTTATTCATTTATAAATATAGAAATTTACTTCATCTACAATTTATTTGTTTTATAGACAATGTGTGTGTGTGAGTGTGTGTATTTATTTATTTAGGATAAAATAGAAAATAACTTTTGCGATTATTCATCTCCAATTTTCTTGCGACTTTCCAAAGACTTTGAAACTCCGGTTGTTTTTTCGATCTTGAAAAATAATAAAGGTAGAGATAAAGAAATTGAAATTATATTGTAAAGATGGATCCGAGGATGATTATTATACTACCTCCATGCCTTTTTATTTAGCCATCTTTGGTTTTCTCATAAAAATGGTAAACTTTGATCTATTGCTTTAACTAATATATTTATGTGAAACTTATTAAATTTGTATGTCTATGATAATATTTTTAATAAAGAACATTTTCATTTTATCAATACCACCATATGTAATATGTAATCGATCAAAGCTAGTTTAACATCATTGACTTGAAAAGTCAGATTTGACTAAATAAAAAGGGAGGGAAGGAGCATTAAAGATGAAAAATGAATTGAAGAGAAAAGGAGATAAATGGGGAAGAAGTGAGGAGAGAGAAACGGTGGAACATTGAAATAACATGAGAGATGTGGATAGAGGTAAAAAAAAAAAAAGTAGCAATTTGACCCTTATATAGAGTGTACACCTACGTTATAAGAATCGGTACCCGGCCAATCATTTGGTGTGATAAATTAGTAAACCGCTACTATGTCTAAAATCAGAAATAACTGGTGACCCACGCAAGCCCGGACCCGAATCGGCTCAGTTCAAACTCGTGAAATATCAAAAACCCGTAATGAAGGTTGACAGGTTGTAGGCGAGAATGTAACATGGGTAAATCTATGAGAAATGTTGTGTTCTTTTGTACTTATTGTTGTATGTTTAAGCAGTTGAAATTTGGTTGATTTAACTTAAATATGATTTTGAGTTGGCTTGGTTTTGCAGCTGGATCCTCACACGCTGTCGAGAAATGAATTATGACCGGTCAAACTCTGATCTGATTAATAATGGTCGAGTATTTAGACCCCCAACTTTTCCTTTCCTTTTTGTACTTGTATTTACTTACAATTGGATTGGCAAGTGGGTGCGCAGGGTAATGTAATTTTGTGTAAGCAGATGACATGAATTCAAGTTATATATATTTATCCATGTGTATATATACATAATTTAATTTAAATATGAGTAAAAAGGAGAAAACATCTTCAGGTAATCTTGATCATCACAATTTGGGAAAAATTGAAGGAATGGATCAATTTTATAGTGAAATAAATGCGGTGTCAATATAACGTAATATATTTTTTTCCTAAAAAGAGAAAAAAAGCAGTATGTCCGTCATAGATAAAACATGCATTTTTGTGAAACATAAAAGTGCATAAATATAAGCGTGTTGGGTTCTCTCCTTGATTGAAAATATTATGATAATCCTAGAATATTGCGGAGATGTCTATAATTCTCTTGATGTGTGTAAAGAGGTAATGAATGTTCTAGAATGTTCCAAGTTTTCTAGAGAGACGTGGAATTATCTAAAAGTATGTGGAAAGAGAGTAGAAGATTGTAAAATGTTGGGGAGTTTTCTAGAGAAGTGTAGAATTCTAAAAAAAACCGTTGTAAAAGCTTCTAGAAGGATATTTGAGTTACAAGAGGTTAAAATTGATAATCTTAATTACATTCAAAACATGTGTGTGAAAGCCTCTTAAACCGTTTGGAAGTGTGTAGAAATTCTCAAGAACAGTGTTGAATTCTCTTGTAACATTCAAAACATGAGTGTGGTAAAGATGTGCATACTATGTTGGATGCGTGGGCATATTAAAAGATCGCTTGGGAAATGAGACAATCAGATAAAAATTGGGAGTAGTCGCACCTATTGAAAATAAGATGTGCGGGTCTTGATTTTCGTGATTTAGTCATGTTCGTAGAAGCCTGCTCTGAGAGTGGTGCAAATCTTACACGAGTTGAGAAGTCTGGAGGGAGTGAGTGAGGGAGAGAGAGAGAGAGAGAGAGAGAGAGAGAGAGAGAGAGAGAGGAGAGAGAGGAGGAGAGAGAGAGAGAGAGAGAGAGAGAGAGAGAGAGTGAGAGAGAGAGAGAGAGAGAGAGAGAGGAGAGAGAGAGAGAGAGAGAGAGAGAGAGAGAGAGGAGAGAGAGAGAGAGAGAGAGAGGAGAGAGAGAGAGAGAGAGAGAGAGAGAGAGAGAGAGAGAGAGAGAGAGAGATGAGAGAGAGAGAGAGAGAGAGATGAGAGAGAGAGAGAGAGAGAGAGAGAGAGAGAGAGGAGAGAGAGAGAGAGAGAGAGATGTTTCTTTTTAGGCTTGATGAGAGTATGAATTTGGAAAGACCTGAGTGGAGGACGGATATTAGTGTGGAGTATTGATCTCTTATCATCATCTTTTGTATCAATATCCTTTTATCTTCTTTAACATTCTTATATTCTTTATCTCTTTATTCTTTTTATTTTTGTCCTTTTTATATTATCATTTTATTATCCATTTATCTTTTAATGTTATACTCCCTCCGTCCCACTAACAATGGGACAAGAGGGAGTGACATGCAAACGAATAAGAAGTGATTTGTGTGATTGATATTGCATTGATAACGTAAGAATAAAGTAAGAATGATTTAGTCATATAAACTTTACCAAATTTGATATGAGACAATCTAAGTGGAGCGGACCAAAAATGTAAAATTGATAATCTTAATGGGACGGAAGGGGCTGAGTGATACTTTTATCTTTGTTATCTTTTTTCCTTTTGGCTTACTTAACATTTACCAATTCATGATAGCCGATTCTAAATTGTTTTTAGATTAAGGGAGAGTTTGCATTTGCTTGTGCTTTTTAAAAGTGATTTATTTAAAAGATTATTGAAAAAGTGATTTATAGTAAAAGTATGTAGTGTTTGTAAATATAAGTGATTTTAATTAAAAGTTAAAAGTTGAAGTGTTTGGTAAAAAATGGTTTTTAGTGGACAATTTTGTTAAAGTACAAAAGTGCCTCTCACATAAATTAAATATTACTCCTCACTGTGAATGTCGAACATTCGATCGCTCAAGCTGCATTTTTCTCACACCTAATTTCCAACCGGCCGGACCGCCGGAAGCTCATTCGGACTTCTCAATACACAATATTCTCAAACCTTCTAATCCTCAACCTACAATAATCCTCTGGTAAAAAAGAAAGCTACAATAATCCTACCTTTCTGGCTTCTAATTGTGGAGCTCTCCGTTTAGAACTAGAAGTTTTTTCCAGCAAAAATATTCTTTGTACCCATATTAGTACCCACCATATAGCCACTACTTAAACCCAAAAAAATAATTACCCCTTCATCCCCTTCACCTTTTCTTACATCTCTCCTCTCTCCCCCATCTTTTTGTATGCCCTTTCTCTCCTCTCTCCCCCCTCCCATCTTTTACGACATTCTTCTCCCCCCCTCTTCCCCATTATTTTTCTCCCCCACCCAAGCTCGAAATATGCAGATGGAAGAGTGAAGACGGTTGATCTACTTCAATTTTTTTAAACGAGCAGCCAGATTTTCAATGTAAATTCAACCTGTATTTTTCTCTACCTTGTTCATTGTGTTCTTTATACATTTAGGATTATATTTGTTTTTTTCAATTTTATGTATATAATATATGTTAATGTTGAATGATTGATTACCTTGGTATATTGTTATAGATTTGTGATGCTTATTATTGAAGTTTTAATTCAAACTATTCTATTTCACTTTATGTCCAAAAGATGTTTGTAGAAATGACCCAATGAATTTTTCATTCATATCCGCAATTTGTGTGTTCATTTTCCTTTTTTGCTAATTTCTTGGACTATTTTATTTTATTATTATGAATTTTATTTATCTTTTTAATTCTATTTTTATGCTTAATTTATGTTTGTGAAGTTGTTTATGTTTGGCGGTCCTTGTTGATTGTACTGCTAGTTTTTTGGCCTACATAGTACTCCTAGAGATCATTATATTAGTTCTTTGTTAGGATGCTTGCTATATATAACATGTTTGATTTTTTTATTTATTACTACTCACATAATCATGTTCACATACTCTATATACATCACAATTCACAGGAGTTAGCAAACAAAGAAACTGAACCTCCAACGGGAAAATTATCTAAAAGGGGTAGGATGATGACATGTTCAATTTGTAAACAAAAGGGTCATAACAATTAGCTTTGGTGAAAGATTTTGAAAAAGAAATAAAACAGTCCAAGAAGAAAACAAGTAGGTAAATAAACAACTTCACAAACATAAATTAAGCATAAAAATAGAATTAGAAAGCTAAATAAAATTCATAATAATAATACTACACTTTTACAATAATGAAATTGTATTTGCAAGAAGTCAAAGGTCTTTATTTCTCCCAACAGTTATGCATCCAACAAAGCAAGTCTTTAGAGTACTTTCCGAATCTTCAGTTGATCAATCATTTTTCAGCATTTTCTCATGGTTGTAACTTTTGGTACAAACTTCCTTATATAGATATGTGCCCTAGTAAGAGCTCCCAACCATTCCATGTTGTTAAACACCTCCTAAAAGGAATTAAATTCAATGACTAACATTATGAAACATTCCAATCCGGACTTTACTCATTTCATAGAAAAAATGCATCAACATCATTATATATAAACGAACACACAGACAAATATTATCTACGCACAAACAAGATAAATGAACACATAGACAATATTTTAACCAAACACAAACAATATAAATAAGCACATGGTGAGAAGTTACGTTCTAACCTTCTCCTTTCCCATATTCTCCCATTTTACCTCAGATAAATTCCGAACCATAAATATACATTACAGTTTACAAATTAATCCAAAAAAACAAGTTCATCTTAGAAATTTACATGAATAAAATATGCAATTTGATGGTGACAAACAACATATATAAAACAACTACAACTGTAATAACAACTTCAAAAAACATTCATTAAAAAGTAGAAAAGTTTAACTGAAATTTCAAGATTTAGCATCACCAAACCATAAGAATGAAACAAAATAATCACACATTCAACATCATACTAAAATCTTTGCTTTCAACATAACACGATACATAAAAATCTGAAAAAGAAAAAAAGTATAAATGTAAAAGCCAAAACAAACTGATGTAAATTATTACCTCAACATTCAAAGCTTTAGAGCTGGAACGATTGTATTATGTGTGAGGGAAACAAACTCTCATGATTTTCCTGAGTTGAGCTTAATTAGTTAGTGATTGAAAGATTTTGTAGAAGAAGAAAAAATAAAGAAGAGTGAAAAGGGGCGTAGAAGAAGGGAGGGGGGAGAGAGGAGAGTTGCGGAGGGGGTAAAAGAGGTGAAAGAGAGTAATTAATTTTTGAAAGTATATGGTGGTGAGTATTATAATGGGTACAAATAGCATTTTTGTTTTTTCAGGTACTGCTTGGCCACCACCGTTTAGAGCTCTTTGTCTAGCTCTCTTCTAACCCTCTTAGTTTAGAAAAAACTTATAGCTCACTTCAATTTCAAATCAAATTGTGGAGGTCTCCATCGAATTTGTGTACTGCTTGTCCACCGGCGGCGACACCGCAAGACACTGCGACACATTCGTGTTCATCTCGGCGGAACACAGCGGCGGCAGAACAGCTTGGTCACCGGTGGTCCTAGATCTACTGATTATTGATGAAAGTGGATGGGTGATTCTTATATGCTGGAAGCCAGTTTTGGTACGCAGGATGTGAGGATGAAGGACTGTACGCAGGATATGAGAACGAAGGGTAGCTGTGGGGATAAACGAATTTGTTTAGGAATTGAATTGCCCTTAGAGTTAGGCTTATTTACCAAAAAACCTAGAAGCAGATAAAAGCATCTCCAACATAGCTTCTAGCTTTTGGCTTAAAACTACTTAAATTAAGTAGAATCTTTCATTTGCAAACACTACTTTTGGCTATAAAAACACTTAAATTAAGTCGAAAAATACTTAAATTTAGCAATGAAAAACACTACTTGAATGTTGTTATTATTACGGAGTATTATAGAGTGTGACTCTTAGATGTCGTTATAATGTGTTTGATGTTGAACAAAAGCTCATAATTTAATTTTGACGTATGTCATGACTACAGATAGATGTTGACAACTACTGTGCCAAGCTATGCTTATGGGTAGATAGCCACTAAATAAAATGTATGATAATGAAG